ATTATATTTTTTCTAGTCTTCATTTTTAGTAGTTAATCACATAGCTTTTCCTTTACGTCTACTAGATGTAATAATTCTTCTACAAACAAAGTTTTTATATTTTCTTTTGTTTCAACAATTTCTAATGATTCCTAAATTTTGTCATTTTCCTTTCTTCCTGAAGAAACTAGGCGGTTCGTAAGCTATTTACGTTAGATTCCATTGTAGCTTAGTGTTTGATGTTTTTATATTTGTTCGTTCATTTTTAATAAGATATTTGTAGGTCAATAAATCAAAAGTATGAAAAAATAAGCAATAGCCAAAATAATACTTTATTCTAATTTTATTTACAATACTTATATTTTTTATAATTACCTTTGCCCCAAAAAATTGTTGCTAAAAACTTGTACACTTTGGTAGTGAAGTTACTATATTATATATCTATCACTTCCTAAATTCTTAATAAAAAATGAAGCATTTAAAATTGGCGACCATACCAATCGGGATAAAATTAGGATTAACCCAACAAAATGAAAAAAAAAAAAAATTGTTGCTAGGGAACTAATTGCAAATTTTAAATATTTTTATGACCTGATTTCAATAATTTCTTATTGAAAATAAGAAAATTATAATCAAAAACAAAACCTTGGGTTATGTACTTGAAAACTTAGTTACATAAAACCCAAATTGCCCATACCTGCCGAACTCTTACGACCGAATTTCACTATCTGTGCTGTATACTTAGTGTGCATCTATACCCTTACAAGTTTCAGTTTATGGTGGTACCAGTATTCGACAGTGTTTAGTAACAAAATAATTAAGATCATGGCGTCTACAAGCAGACGTTGTCGATCAAACCAATAAGGGTTTTTGTTATATATGTGGTAAATAAATTTTTAAAGATAAACTTAATACATTGGTTGGACATAAAACCTCTGAAAATAATGACAGCAACTCTACCAGATCAAGACCGAGATGAGCTCTACTTTTCCTTATCTTTATAAATGATATCACATCACCAACTTAAAAATCCATGTAAAAATTATTCTTTTTGCTGATGATACTAGTATTACCTGGAGGAACTCTAATATTGCAACTCATAAAACTGATGAAACTAAAACTTGGTCCCACTCTTGGACACTCATCATCAAAAATACTTGTACCACCACGAACAAATTCAGCTCTCCAAAATTTTACTGTTGCTAACGAAGGTGCAACCTCACCATAAACTTCGTCCAGGTCGGCTTTGATTTGCACGTTCGTTTTACCCTTTTTGTTGGAGGAACTTAATCACCGAACAATACTCGAGTTTTTCCATTTCTTCGAAAACACAAAATTTGCTTGATTTTGAGGACTGTAAAAACCAAACTAATTGTTTTTAAAACTTAAAATTTTGTCAGATGTCACGTCATGAATGGCAAATGTCAACACCGAAACCAATTCGGTATCAAGTAGCGCCATCTATCAAAGGCTAGTTTAAGATCCATCTATCCTCGTATATACAGGGCGTCCCATAATTAATTGGACATTAGCTAATGGGTGATAGCTGACATCAAAATACAGCGTTTGAGCTCAAATTGCTTAGGCAAAATGTTGCTAGTTTTCGTTCTACAGGGTGATTCATTAATATTTTTTTATATTATTTTTAGGGATATATTGAAAACAATTCAACCGATTTAAGTAAAATTTGGTATCTTGCTATTATTTAGTATACCTAATATAAAAATGATATTAGTTTTACCGATGACTCTAGGTGGCGCCACCTACTATAACATTGGTTCATTAATGGGACCATAATTTTTTTTCCTACCCTGTATAAACATTCTAGGAAAAAAACATGAAATAACATTCAATTCTACACAAAAAAGGTATTCTTGTTTCAAATCAAAAAAGTACACCGTTTTCGAAATAAACGTATTTTTTAGAGACGTGCATAAAATAAAAAAATTTTACAAAAACTTATGTAAATTCAAATATTATTCAAAAGGTCTTAAATAAAAGTGAATATTAAATGTATTAGTAGTAGATAATTTTTGCAAACAAAATGCATATGACTGAAACTTTTATTTTTATTAAACCTTTGACTCAGTAACAAATTTTAAAAAAATCAGAAATTAAATTAAACAATGAAGTGAATATAAAACAATTAACAAAGTGAATAATTTAAAACGAAACGAAAAAAAAATACAATAAGTGTTCCAAAATGTGCACCATTATATAAACTACATAATCCAAATCTTCTGTGTAAGTTTTGTCTTATTTTAAATAATGAGATTCTTTGGGCCCTAATTACGTTAACTCCCTCTACAATATTTTGCCATAACTCTTGACGGTTATTTATTTTTTTTATAAACAAGTGACTTTAGGTAGCCCCACAAGTGAAAGTCTAGGGGATTTAGTTCGGGACTGTGTGCTGGTCATGGGTATACACTACCTCTACCAATCCACCTTTGAGGATAAATTTCATCTAGATAATTTCTAACTTCTAGGCTATAATGTGGTGGTGCACCATCATGCATGTACCAAGAGTTCCGTCTCAAATTTAGAGGTATGTCTTCTAAAAGAGTTGGTAAATCTTTTATCAAAAAATTTAGATACGTTACTCCGTCAAGCCTAGTTGGTAATTCGAATGGTCCTACAATACAATCCTCAAATATGCCACACCAGATATTTATGGAAAACTCGTGTTGAAAATGATGTTCTTGAAATGCATGAGGATTTTCTGTCGCGTAGGTATGGCTATTGCGCCAGTTAAATAAACCCCTTCTAGTAAATGTGGCTTCATCGGTAAATAAAATTTTATTATAAAACATTGGATCGTCTAAATGCCGCCCCATCATAAACTGACTAAATCGGAGCTTTGCTGGAAAATCCTGTGGTAAAAGATTCTGTACTGGAGTAAAACGATACGGATACAGATTTTCTGTCCGTATTATTGTTGACACCGTAGATTTGCTTATACCAGTGGCCGCAGAAACAAGCCTTGTACTGGTTTCTGGATCTTCTGCAACACGCACAACAATTTCATCCTCCATATCCGCATCAATTACTCTCGGTCTTCCAGCATTCCTGTTTTTGGGATGAAATGACCCTGTTTCGCCTAATCTGTCGAACAATGATCTAATAGTTTTATGGTTTCATCAATCATCAATCAGCCAATCGCGTCCACTGCTGGACATAGGCCTCCCTCAATTCTTTCCAGTGTTCTCTACACTGGGCCGCTTGTAGCCAGTTTCCCGCTACACGTTTAATGTCATCGGTCCATCTAGTCGGTGGTCGTCCTCGGCTTCTTTTATAATTTCTGGGCCTCCATTCCATAATACGTCTTGTCCACCGTCCATCTTGTGTTCTGGCTAAGTGCCCTGCCCAGTTCCACTTAAGCGTCGTGGTTCTTTCGATGACGTCTTGAACTCCTGATCTTCGTCTGATTTGCTGGTTTGTTATGTGGTCTCGAAGGCTCACGTTCAGCATTGCACGTTCCATGGCTCGTTGTGTAACTCTAAGTTTATTCGCAGATTTTTGCGTGAGTGTTAAAGTCTCTGCTCCATAAGTTTGTACAGGTAAAACACATTGGTTATAAACCTTTCGCTTGAGACACATGGGAATTGAACTTTTTAGAATATGGCTTAATTTGCCAAATGCTGCCCATGTTAGACCTATTCTCGCCTCTGTATTTCATGTGTTTGATTGTCTCTGCTTATTTTGATTTCGTTTTATGGTTTGGTTGCCTTCTATTGGGATAAAGTTCGAAATAGAGTTCAGCTGCTTTACGAGAACAAAAATTTTCCTGGGCATACAAACAGATCATATCGCGCATTTCTACATTAGAAAATTCACTATGACGTGGCATTTTTCCTTTTCTTAAGTGGTTTATAAAAAACTTAATAGCACTTTGACAAATAATGACTCGCACTGCACTTTGACAACTAATAATAAATAAATTCGCAGTTACCTTTGACAACTAATAATAAATAAATTCGTAGTTAGGTCTTGACGTTGTCATTAAGTTCAAAGCATACTTGTTTTGCAAAAAATTAAATAGAGACATGCATCATTAACAAAATACGTTTATTTCGAAAACGGTGTACTTTTTTGATTTGAAACAAGAATACCTTTTTTGTGTAGAATTGAATGTTATTTCATGTTTTTTTCCTAGAATGTTTATACAGGGCGGACAAAAAAATTATGGCCCCATTAATGAACCAATGTTACAGTAGGTGGCTCCACCTAGTGTCAATGGTAAAACTAATATCATTTTCTTATTAAGCATACTAAATAATAGCAAGATACCAAATTTCACTTAAATCGGTTGAATAGTTTTCAATATATCCATAAAAATAATATAAAAAAATATTAATGAATCTCCCTGTAGAACGAAAACTAGCAACATTTTTCGTAAGTAATTTGAGCTCAAACGCTTTATTTTGATGTCAGCTATCACCCATTAGCTAATGTCCAATTAATTATGGGACACCCTGTATATTTGAGTATCACATGCAACAACTTATTGATTCGTAAGGTTTTATTATCCAATTTGAAATTTATTTAAATTTTGCAATGGATTGTGTACTTTATTATCTTTTATTTTGTGATATTAACGATTTATGTAATTTCAGTAAATTTTAAATTGTTATTGTTATTTTTATGACTTTTTGTAAGTTTTGTGACAATAGAGCATATTTCTATTCTATTCTGTTTCAAACCTCTGGCTCTCTACTTACGTTGTATTCTACTCACAACAGTTATTTCTAAATGTATATGTAGTCAGGGATGCAAAAATGTCCGAAGGCGTGAATCAACGTCGGGGAAAATTTTGCAGAAAACCCAAGTGTAAAATTTTGGGAAAATAAATTCTTAGAAAAACAATTAAAGCATTAACGTAATTTGAAATGTTCCTCTAATTAATCCAATGATAGATATAATCATATTTATACAACACAGTTTGTGTTAATAACAACAATTTTAGATTACTTGTTTCATGGGACACACTTACAAGTTTATACACATTTACTTTATTCCTATCATTTTTCTTCAACTATACAAACGTCTGAATCATTGTCTTCATTACAGGAAGTATCAGAAACGCTAATAACGCTCGCTTCTGACGACTCCCTTCTTTGGCGGAAATGTACATCCTTCTTAGAGAGTGTAAAACTATTTTTATTAATCGATGACCTTGAGTTATTATCGGAAGAGTCACTGCTTTGTCGAATCTTTAGTTTTCTTGTGGAGAACGAAGAACTGGTTTTCTTTAAAGATGATCGACGATAACATAAACTATCATCTGAAGACTCACTACTTTTAGGTGTCTTTGTCTTTATGGATGAAACCGTATAGCTTTCTTTTTTAGACGATGAACGCTGATAATTTGAACTATCATCTGATGAATCGCTAGAACTTCGACAGTTGATATTTTCATGTTTTAACTTTTTAATTTTACTGGTGTTTGTATAAAGTCCACTAAATTTTCGTTTAATATCTGAAACAGTAGTTTTTCTACTTCTTATGGCATCTTCAATCTCACTTTCTGTCACATTTTTCAATACAGTGCTGTCTTTTAGTTCGTTACTAGACGATGCCGAAGTACTTTTGTCCACATTATTAGATAATATTTCCCTAATTTGTTGAAACGGGGTTTTCTTGCACACAAAAACCCTTTTCTGTCTCTGTTTGATATCGTGATTGGGAGGTGTGCTAAAAATAAATATATCACAGTTTATAAGAATGTAAATAATGATATGGAATAGGTATTTTACTACATATTAGAAATAAATTAAAGTGATATAAGGTTGAATGCTCGAATAAATGAACTTTGATCAAACGAAAGGCAGATATCGAGCACTAAATCTTCCCTAAGTACTTTCGCTTCCTAGAGCATCTTCAGGGGCATTTCGTCAAATTTGGCCTATCCAACAATCTTTAAGAATGTCATGTTATATGTTTGATATTCTTTTAAATATCATATTAATGAAACTTGAATTAAAGCTTCAAAGATGTTGGGATTATTTATAAAAATTGTAATCACACATATGGTGTCCTTCATATAATAGTGATAGATACAGTATTGAGAGAGTTCAAAATAAATTTTTGAGTGAATGTGTTTGAACAGGCACAACTAAAGAACAATAAGGCTCCGGGTCCAGATGGAATACTTGTAGAAATGTTGAAGGAGGGGAATGAAATTATTCTCGAAGAAATGAAAAAACTTTTCAATGAATGTCTTCACAGAGGAGAAGTCCCAGATGATTGGAATGAAAGTTTGACAATACTTCTCTTTAAAAGGGGAGACAGGGCAGATCTCAAGGACTATAGGCCAATCTCCCTGCTGTCCCAAATATACAAATTGTTTATGAGAGTAATAACTAACAGGATAACGTCGAAGCTCGATAGCTATCAACCGGTAGAGCAGGCAGGATTCCGAAAAGGTTACAGTACAGTGGATCATCTTCTTACAGTCAGGGCTCTAATAGAGAAAGCCAATAAATATCACTTTAACTTATATATTGACTTCGTTGATTATGAAAAGGCATTCAACTCCATAGAACTTTAGATAGAGAGACAGAGCTATGAACAACTGCAGGATAGACTCCCGATACAGAATGCTCATACCCAATATTTACAAGAAAGCTACAATGAAAATACAAATTGATACGAAAACCAAAGCTATACCAATTAACAGAGTTCGCCAGGGAGATGTTATCTCACCAAAGCTATTCACACTTGGACTTGAAAACGTGTTCAAAGACATTAACTGGGCAGATAAGGGAGTAAATGTTAATGGAAGAAAACTGAGTCATTTAAGATACGCTGATGACATTGTAATACACTCACCGGCAAAATTAACGGAACACCTTAAAAATGGGACATGTTAGATGACTCGAATTTCCTAAACCTGTTGTCCGATTTTAGTGATTTTTTTAGTATGTTATATGTATATTATTTAAGAATATCAATGAAATAATATTGTTGCTAGACAGGTCAATGTCATTTTATACCGGGTGTAACAATCATACTGTGTTTTTTCCTTAAAGTTCGAAACACCCTGTGGAATATTCTAGCATATATAAAATATTGAAATTAAAGTTCAATTATAGTCTCAGGCTTTCTTAACATTTTCTTTTTTGATTCATTTGCTTGTGTTGGATAATAAAAAAGTTAGGTACGTTAACAACTAGATATGTTTTTCATCAATAAATGCTCATTTTCTTCTTAGTTTCACCAGCATATTTAAAGGAACAACCATAAAATCTGAGTATTTTCTCTCTAGTCTATATACTGTTTAGATAATATCATAATACGAATGTTGGTGAAGTATTTTGAATTTATATTACAATGGTAGTACAATATAAAACCTGTTTAAGAAGAAATAAAACACAAAGATGTCAGACTCAACAAAATACGGATTTTAAATGCATTAACTTTATTGTACAGTTTGAACTTAAATTGGTTTTTTATGCATTTTTTTGGCTTTAATAGCGTGTATTTCCCCTACGAGCCCTTACAACTACAGTTATTCGTCTTCTCATACTTCTGATACCGCTATCGATCAGTTGTTGGGCAGTCTCTCCCATTCCTCAATCAAAGCAATTGTGACTTCCTCTCTGTTTTGAATAGCAGGAACCGTGCCCTAAGTTTTCTGCCTAGCATGTCCCACATATCCTCTATCGGGTTTAGGTCTGGGGAACAAGCTGGCCAATTCATCGTTATTATACCCACTTGTAATAAGAAATATCTTACACAGTCTGCGACGTGTGGGCTCGCATTATCCTGCATTAAAATAAAATTTTCGCCAATATATGGTGAAAAAGGTACCACATGGTCTTGGAGAATATCTCTGATATACTTATCTGCTGTTAATGCTCCATCATCAATCACCACTAACTCTGTTATTGCTCCCAAACATATACCGCCCCACACCATAATTGAACCTCCACCAAAAGGTAAGGTCGTAGTAAAATTGAAAGGGGCATTTCGTTCTCCTTGGCGTTGATACAATCTTTCTCTACCTCTCTCTCGTCCGTAAAGAGAATTTGACTCCAGTGGTTATCATTCCAATTTTGATGTACTCGACCAAATTGTAGTCGTGCTAAACGATGGTGTCTTTGGAGTCTGGGAGCTTTTATTGGCACATATGACTTGAGACCGGCTTTTTTAAGTCTCTTTCTTACTATGCACTCAATTAAATACAAGTTTGTACTTGTTATGAACAGACAGAATGACTGTAAAATGTAAAACACAATACAAATAAACAAATTAATTTGACATTTAAGACTTTCTTGTGACAAGGAGCTTTCAAAGCTATGTAGATATAGTCTATAAAATACAAATATAAAGAAATATTGCATTAATAACAGGTTCCTTTAAATTTGCCGGTGTGTGTATTAAATTGTTAACTTCTCATAGCCTACTTTAGGCTTGTTTATTAAACTAAGCAGAAAATGAGGATTTATTGTTGAAAAACATGGCTAGTTGTTAACATACCTAACTGTTTTATTACCAAACATAAGCAAATGAATCAAAAAAGAAAATGTTAAGAAAGCCTGAGGCTCTAATTAAGTTTTAATTTCAATGTTTTATATATGCTAGAATATTCCACAGGGTGTTCCGAACTTTAAGGAAAAAACACAGTAGGATTGTTACACCCGGTATAAAATGACATGGTGTCATGCAACACCGTCTAGCAACAATATTATTACATCGATATTCTTAAATAATATACCTATAACATACTAAAAAAATCACAAAAATCGGACAACAGGTTTAGGAAATTCAAGACATCTAACATGTCCCAATTTTAAGGTGTTCCGTTAATTTTGCCGGTGAGTGTATTTGCTACAAGTTTCGAAGAACTACAGACCATGATGACGCAACTATTTCAAGCTTCGGAAAAAGTAGGTCTTAAGACGAACTTGGAAAAAACAAAAATAATGACGAATACACCAAACATTACAGAAATAACGTTGAACGACATAAATTTAGAAACAGTAAGCGAATATATCTACCTGGGACAGATAATGAAAATTAACAAAGAAAATCAAACTGCCAAAATTACCAGAAGAATAAGGTTGGTGTGGCAGGATTTGGAAAACTGAGTTGGATCTTGAAAAGCACTAAAATAGAACAGTATTTGAAAACCAGAATTTACAATCAGTGTATCCTCCCTATACTCACGTATGGTTCACAGATGTGGACACTCACCAAGTCCAATATGGATAAAATAGTAAAAGCATAAAGAGCAATGAAAAGGAAGACCACAAATGAGATGGGCTGATGACATTAAGAAGATCGGAGGATACAACTGAAAGCAAGTGGAGCAAAATAGAAGACACTGGATTGATTTGGGGGAGGCCTATGTCCAAAGTTGGATTACTTAAGGCTAAAGAAGAAGAAGAAGCAGAAGTATGCGCTTACATATATATGTTTGAATCAGATTTATGTTTCCTTAGAGGTCCATAGAAGATCCGTAGAGATACATAGATCCTTAAAAATCCATAGTTACTAAGTTTAATAAGTCTTAATATTAGTACTATAAGAACTCGTAATATTGAGATTTTCAACATTCCGTTTCATACTACAAACTATGGTCAAAATAAACCTGTTACAAGAATTCTAAGAACTCCAAATGAGCACAGCAATAGTTTGAATTATTTGGAATGCCTACAACAACGTTTAAGAAGTTAGTTAAGGTTTTGAGTATGATTACTTCGTAATTTAAGTTCCTAATTTAATTCAGTTTAATGCCACTTATGCTTTGTACATTTTGACATTATATTTTTGTAAAAATGATATCATCATCATCCAGCCTCAAGAGTCCACTGCTGAACATAGGCCTCTTCCTCATGTTTCCAACCCCATCTATCTCATCTATCTTGCGCAGCTCTTATCCAGTTTTTAAAATTATATATCCGTAAATAAATAAATATAGCCAAATATAGGGAAAGATGTTTTTGAGTAGCCCACCCTGTAAAACATAACTAATGATGATATTTAACATAATAATATATAACTTACCCTATTCTTAATTTATCATCATCTGTCAAATTTAAATCATTTGTACTTTTTTTGGTATCAGCACATTCTTGATCTTTAGATTTTGTAAATTCTATTCTATCTGACAATATCTCTTTAATATAATCTATGGCTAATTTTTTCCTCACTGGAATTTTTCTTGGTCTAGATCTCTTAGTATTCTTTTCCTTTTCTTTAGCTATAAATTTTTCTTGGTTGTCTGAAATTCTTAATAAAATTAATTAAAGATTTGAAATTAAATTCTTAAAATATATTTACAAGAACAGATTTATTTGATGACATAAAGGGGGGCAGCAGGCATAGATGATGGTGATCAATAATGATGTGATAGAGATTCTTAAATCAGCACTGCATACTAATTATCCCATCTTGCATTAATTTGGTTAAAGTTTATTTACCTTAACCCAAGTATCTCTTCTAATAAACGGAACCAATGTTGAACAAGTAGACAAATATGCATATCTGGGAACAATGATTAACTCCACAAATGATTACAATCAGGAGATCAAAATCAGAATAGACAAGGCTAGAGCAAATTTCAACAAAATGAGAAGAGTGCTGTGTACCAGGGATTTAAAACTGGAACTAAGAGTTAGGTTGGCGAGGTGCTATGTTTTCTCAACTTTATTTTATGGAATGGAATCTTGGACCTTGAATGCAACATCAATGAAAAAATTGGAATCATTCACGCTGTGGGTGTACAGAAGAATATTAAAAATATCGTGGACAGAACATGTCACAAACACAGAGGTTCTTGGAGGAATGAATAAAGAGATGGAAATTTTAAACACAGTAAAATCAAGAAAATTAGAATATCTTAGACATATTACATGTGGAGAGAAATACACCCTGCTCCAATTGATTATGCAGGGAAAGATACAAGGAAAGAGAAGCATAGGGAGGCATAGAATGTCATGGCTGCGCAACCTGAGAGAGTGGTACAGATGTACATCAAATGAACTTTTCAGAGCAGCCGTCTCAAAAGTCCAAATAGCTATGATGATTGCCAACCTCTGCCACAGAGATGGCGCTTGAAGGAGAAAGAAGATGTATCTCTTATTATTTGCATAAAATGTATGACCATGATGCATGGTTCAAACACATGCCAATGCAGTTGTATTTGTATCAAAAAACCATTATTTGTGATCAAGGTATTTTACCTTCATTGGGTATTTACTGCTATATTTCCACATTTTGGGAATCTGTCCTCCAAACAAAATTTCAGACATTAGTTCAATGTCTACCTTGTCTCTACAAGCCATTGTGGGTCTTGTTCTGTTGCAGGATCAGTCTTGACTCCATTCTATTCTTCATCATGGTTTTCCAGCCACAAACATCAAATACTTCATTAAAAAAGTTGTGTAGTGTTAAAAAAGCTTCTTAAGAAGAGATCCTATAAATCCATTTTTGTTACATTACATTAGGTAAAAGGTATGTCTAAAATGTGGATATATAGGTTTATCCTGTATCCGGGATCTGATTATCGAACTTGGTGATCATATTGGAGGAACAATTAATTTATCAGTACTTCTAGAGTGTTCCTATATCCCAAACTTTTTAAATAGATTATAACAGGGAGTAGAAATAGGTTCATTAATTCTCAATGGTCCAAAAAGTAAATAATATGTACCCAGTGAAGAAAAAAAAGTAAATATAAAATATTTAAATTACAGATTATTCTGTATATATGTGAAATATGGATTTTGAATAAATTTGATTTTTGAGAGCAAGGTCGGATTTAAGTGTATGAGAGAATGTCTTGAGCAACATAGTTGAAAAAATTAGTAAGCACAATTAATTATGATTAATTGTGCACAAATAAATAAAATGGTAAAAGAAGGATGTTATGAAGAGGCATATAAACATTCAAATATTCTATGACCTACAAAATCACTACAAACATTCTTTGATTGGTATACACTCAAAGAATAACTAAGAAGAGGTAAGCAACAAAGGGAATAAACTTAAACTAAATTTAAGGGAAATGAAAATAATGACATGTATAAGTGAAAAAATGCCAAAGATAATATGAGGAAACCAAAAATACTATTTAGAAGACTAAGAAGATAAATAAAAATAAATGAGAAGGAAAATACTTAAGAACATTGACCTTACAAATATAAAATCATTATATTAAAGTAGTTACCTATTATTAGAGGATACCAGATTTGAGACAGTTCGTTGAAAAAAATTTAAATTTGGTCTAACTCTTGTCTTTTCAATCTCTCCTTCCCTTACTTTGCTGTCTTTAATAAGGGCACTAATGACTTCTCTAAAAAATTGTAAAATTAATATTTTGCTTTACAGATACTCCAACGGCTTACTCATCTGATATTAAAGATTTATAATAGTCTAATCCCTCCATATTATCAATTATTAAGTTAAATAAGCTTTGAATGTATATTAAGTACCAATGAATACAATATTTATGTTTATAACAATTGATTAATGTCAAATAAACGTCAATGTCAACACAAGTGTGAAATCTGTGTTGCGTGAACTTCTAATAAATGGTGGTAAACTTTTTTGAAAATTTAATACGAAAAATAAAAGACTAAAATGACATAGTGACATTTCCGATTATACTCAGTTCTTCAAACTTCAAACATTTTACATTACAAACATACTCTTTAAAATGAATTGATTTTAAATGTCCCCTTCCACTGACCAGGTAGATAAATTAAAATACAGGACCGAATTTTAAAAATTCGTTGTGGACACTGAATAATTTATCTAGAGCTAGTGTATACGTTTACGAATTTATTCCTTTCTTCTATATAAAGAATATTAGAGTACAACGTTGTGTAATTTCTGCAGACCAAACACTATTCACTATACAAATAGCTATTATTACGAAGTGCTATGTTACTATGAAATAGTTACTATGAAATGTTTTATCAAAGATATTATTTTTTCTTCTATTATCTGGACGAAAGAGTTGTCATTTGTATATTTGGTTGCATACATAAATAATTTTCCAGTTTCGTAGTGTCGAATGGTCGAAACCTTAGACCAATATTATTTATCTAGACCACCGAACAACCGTTGTTCGGTGTCTAGACGTCGAAACAATTTATTTCGTATTTTGCAGTTATTTTGTGTACAATTGTGATTTCTAGGTGAATAAGTCAAAGTAATCAAAACTCAATATTCGATGTAAATATAGGCAACTATTGGTACGGTTATTTTGACATTATTACACTTCATAGAATTCATGTTCTATGTTTTTTTTAGCAACATCATTTGGTTGGACAGAAAATAGAAAATCTTTTATTTTTAATACTGGTAAACAGTTAATAAAAGTAAGGTTATAATTTTAAATTTAAATTCTTATTTAAAATTTAAAGATTTTAAAGGCTAATGGCTTCATCCGGAGAAAAACGAGACAAGGTAATGCATTTTACTTATATTTTAAGTAGGCATTTTAGAGTAGGCAAACAATCATTGAGACCTTACTCAAATTAAATTGCTCTTATATTTTGTCTGATACGATTACAGTTTGAAAACACTTATTTAATTTTGGTATATATCTATAATTGTATTATTTTTAATTAGCCTAAATGAATGCCATAAAAGTTTAGGACTTCTTCAATATTGGTGCAATGAACATAACCTCGTTGATATGTTTGACTTAATATACGTCAGTGTTGCCATATACTCAAATATTTCCCACTCTCACATATAAAATTATTGGCAAGATTTATATTATATGAAATGAAAATGTAAAATTGAAAAATACATATATAATTAAACAAAAATGTGAAAAATATATATATTTTTACCTATACATAGGTATATAATTCATTAAAATTATACCTATAAATATTATAAAATAAAATTATATCTTGCATTTCTACATTTAAAAATACTTATATAATAAAAACCATTAAAATTATGCTTAAAAATTAATAGTTTAGAAACTTTATAAATTACAGAATAAAGTTAAATGAAAAAAAATTAGGTTAAACAAAAGTATTTAGCTATATTTAAAATAAAAAATACTATTTTATGAATGCTTTTTAATATGAATTCAAAAATTGTGGCTGTGGCGTGTACATTTTTACATTTTACAGAAGTAAAACACTTCACATTTACCTAAGTATATACCTAAATACAAATGTGAAGCATTTTACTTCTGTATAAGTTTTTTAAAGCATATATAATTTCGTCAAAGTATCTTCCTATTTTAAACACTCCTATACTTTATACAAAAACAAGTGGCAACACTGTGTCACACAAACATATAGCTGGATGCCAGGTTATGTTCATTGCACCAATATTGAAGAAGTCCAAAGTTTATTAGGTATTGGGTAAAGAAATTCAGCAGCTTTACTGTAACCTACCAAATGATTTGAATGATTAAATCTAATGCACATGAAGAAAGACTACTTAATTCGTTCCTTCTACTTTCTGAAGTGTCTGAATTCAGTGTCATTTTTAATTTAATTTCCTGTAGTTTTCTTTGTTGATTTTTGTTTCCTGTGTTTGATTTGGTGTTTCATCCCTGTAGTATGTCTAAATCACACTGATTTTACTCTTGCTGTTAGTCATGTTAGGCAGTAACTGACAATTTTTGTACCTGTTAACTGGTTTTCTAGGATAAATTGCATCATCATGTTTTATCTAGTTCTTTAAATGGCTGTTACATCCAAATCTCTTTGGCAGTTATTATTTTTGGTATTGAATATCTTATGTGTTGTACTCTTGTGTTTATTCTTTTAACTCTTTATTTCATTCATGTAGTCTACGATTTCTTATGTCATTCAATCTGATTTCTCTACATGTTTATTTTTACTTTTCTCTAAATTCTCATCAGTAACTTCGACTGCTGTGTTCTTTAATTTATTTCAAGTGCCTTCAATAAGATTATGTGGATCATCTGTATATCCTAAACTTATTTTATGTTAATCTTCATTCAATTTCTGTTTTAGTATTATTTCCTTATTCTTGTCTTTCATCTTTTGGACTGAGTCTATATTTATGTTAGCTATTACTCATAGCAGCTTTAAAATAAGTTTTGTCATTTTTAAGCTATTATTGAATCTACTATTCATCATCATCTTGGTGCTAGAGCCCTTAGAGGGCCTCAACCTTCTCAAGCTTTCTACGCCATTCTGTTCTGTCCCTTGCTTGCATTTTCCAGTTGCCAACTCCGATCTTCCCGGCATCTTGTGTTACCCCATCCATCCACCTCAGCTTTGGTCTACCCCGTCTTCTCATTTCCATAGGTTGCACTGATAGAATTTTTTTTTATCATGTTCGATTCAGGGTCCCGGGCTACATGTCAAGCCCACTGCAGGCGGTTTCGCTTAATTATAGTGGTAATATCCTTACCACCAAACGTATGCTTGTAAATATTCTGCAGTTCAAAGTTATATATACGCCTCCATATTCTGTTCTCACAGACCGTTCCGAATATCTTGTGTAGCACCTTTCTTTCAAAAATCAATAGTTTTAGTTAATCTGTTTTAGTTAGCGTCCATGCCTCTGATCCATATGTGAGAATGGGGACTATCAGTGTTTTATACAGCCTTATACGAGTTTGTTGAGACAGATGTTTGTTATCTAAGTACATTGATAGACCATGATTATTATTCGCCTTTTTATTTCCTCAGATGTGTTATTATTGGGGTTAACCGTTGTCCCTTGGTATATGAACTCTTTGACTGCTTCAAAGCTTTGATCATTGATGATTAAATCTGTGTCAACATTTCCAGCTCTTGTGTTTGTGTTAGTCGCCATGAATTTGGTTTTATTTTGATTTATATGGCTATATATATATAACTCAGTTAGGATTTCCGCAGTTCTCGCCCTGGTTCTTGTTATAATGTCCATGTTGTCTGCATATGCTAGAATTTGGACTGATCTATTAGATATTGTTCCCCTGCTATCTAAATTAGCGTCTCGTACAACTTTTTCTAAGGCGACATTAAAAAACTGACACGCCAGTGCATCTCCCTGCCTTAACCTATGTATTTCAAATGGGGCTGACAAGTCGTTTGAATTTTTACTGCTGATAGCATCTTCGCCATTGTCACTTTTATCAAATATACTATTATCAGAATGAAATCGATTTTAGTCTGTTCTATGGTTTTTGTAAATTATTATATTTTTTCTTTTTAGCAATTAAATGTCTTAATTTTTTTGGAAAATTGTTTCTGTTATTCTGTTTAAGTAAACAAGCATTAAAATGGTTTATTCAACTTAAATTATTAAAAATATAATTGGGCTGGTCTAGTTATTTCTGTATTACAACTATTTTAGATTGTATCTAAAGTATATTTATTTTTTATAGGCGGCGGTTTCAGCGGGTGACCAGAAAGAGAAAAAGCGCAAAGAATCCATTCTAGATCTATCTAAATACCTTGAAAAAACCATAAGAGTTAAATTTGCTGGAGGTAGAGAAGCCAGTGGAGTTCTAAAAGGTTATGACCCTCTTCTAAACCTTGTATTAGATAATACCTCTGAATATTTACGTGACCCAGATGATCCTTACAAACTTATAGAAGATACAAGACAGTTGGGACTTGTGGTTTGTAGGGGAACTAGTGTTGTACTCATATGTCCAATGGATGGTATGGAATCGATCCAGAATCCTTTTATTTCACAAGATTGATATAAGATTAGTTGTTACTGTTAATATTCATTTACAATAATTTCATTTAATATAATTGATCAATTGTAATTTAGGTCTGAATAAATATTCCATAATACATAAGAAAATAAATTGTATACTTAATATAGTTACTAATATAATTAATATATTAATAAATTTGGACAAATATTAATAAATTTCATAACGAAGACTATTGCTTGTAATATAATGAGAAAACTTTTTTTTTCGAAATATGTATCAATATTATGCTGCAGATGAGAATGCTAAGATGTTATACACTTAACCTCGGAAGGTTTTAGACCACCAAAAATTATGCTCATTATATAAGGCTTATACTGTATTTGAGAAATAAAATGTTTTTCTTATGTTAAGTTTGAGACGCCCTGTAGGGAGAATAAGGTACAAGTGTGGGCACAGATCGAAATCATGTGAGTAGCTGAGATGCAAAACTCGCTCGTTGCCAAAATTTAAAAATTTAAGATAGTTATAGAGACCTGACACGTATGGCTGCCCTTTACAATAGTCTTATCCCAAAGTTTAGCAAAACGTGCTCGTTTCTCTTGATTTTGACTATATAAAATAAGAGTTTTTAGCAAAGCTAGTTCGTTCTATGTAACAGTTGGTTGCAAAACTAGCTTGTTGCATATTCTGCAGCAAAACTCGCCCATACCTTGTTTTAATGAATCTAACCTAACATGTCTTGCTTTTATTCGCTTTGTTGCAAACATTAAAAAGTTTCGTTCAAGAAACAAAATAGGTAGGTTTATTTGAGGTTTAGTTAAGATAAATAATTTTTGCTTCAATTATTCAGAAAGTTTATTAATTTTATTTTTATTTATTCCAAGCATACAGTGTAACGGGTAGCTCTTTCAGGACGACAGACTCAGTAAAACACAGGTTAAAATAAAAATATGTCTATTGATCTAATATATGTACAATATAAATGAAAATAAAATAAATTCTGTGCCGTACAAAAATAAACGTAGAAATTAACTCTGCGCTCCGTCTGGATCCCGCGATGAATGAATCCCCGGCGGACGTCTATAAAAGAAAGAAAGAAAATAATTATTAATAACAAATAAAATAGGTGTATTCAATCGCACTCAGACGTATATTCGCTTCCGCTTCAAACCAGCGGGAGCTGCGAACACACTCGTCAACTACAAAATCGCTTATGCAGGTCCGCGATAAAGTTCAAAACACGATATCGGTAGACTCTGCTTAATTATGGACGGAGCATGAACTTCAAAGCAGAACTACCTCCGTCCGGGTGGGCTCGCCAGTTCAGGACACTGGCGAAGAGAGGAGCCTAAGGCGCTAAGCTAAAGACTGAATAAATGCCGCTATTCATATGCCTTAAATAGTTGCTCTGAACCCCACTCACATCGTGCTAAGGAGGTGGAAGCGCCAACGCTGACACTCCTACGGTTCAAGCTGTTGAACGGTGATGACATCGTTACAACAGCAAAAGCCTCATTACCAACATGCACTCATTCAAAAACATTTTATTGTTCAAAACTTCAACTCCAAGATGTATGGCGTTTCCATCAATATTTTTATGACACACCAAATAAGGTGGACCAAGATACTTTTATTTTAAAACATACGAAGCAGCTAGCTCCAGTAAACAATAGAAAACGAAAAAAATATGAAAGACTGGATAACAATGTAGAGAGAAAAAGCTGTATATCCATAAAATATTTCGTGTCAACTCGGATCGAGGGAATGGTACAGGTTTGCTCCAAAGCTTTTTGGGTATTTCTAAATACTGTGTTCAAAATATTGACAAGAAGTATCTTTTATAATTCCAGTCTCCAAGAGAACGAAGGGACGGTGAAAAAAAAAACTGAAAAATTTAAAGGTAAAAAGAGGCTGTTTCAAATTTCTTAAAATCACTACAGTTTGTGTAGTCCCATTATACAAGGGATAAAAGCACCAGACACTATATGCCAAGTGATTTCACAGCAAAAATCTTTAGAAACTGTACAACCACAATCAGTGAATGACAACCTGCAGGTAAAGTATTGTTACTTATATATTTTCAACTATTATTTTAATATCATTTTTAAGACTCCAGCAACAGATACTTGTACACAATGCATTCGTCTGAGATGCCAAATAAAAACGATGCCTACAGGACCCAAGAAGGTTAAATTTATGGCTGAACATGCGGTTCATAAAATGAAGGCAAAAACTTTTTATTCCATGCTTAAAAAAGACGACGGGCCTTCTGTACTTAAACTTTCTTTTGATTGTCAAAAGAACCTTGTGTTGTCACGTGTTCCAGACCAGGCTGCCTATTAAGCAGGCAACTGTACCTCTACAATTTTGCCATTTGTGACATGTTTTACATAGGTAAAATGGTCCTCGAAGACACTTCGTCTCAGGACCATTTTACCTATGTAGGGTCATACGTCGCCATGTTACCAATTCCAAAGGTAACTTAAACATCATAATTTGTAACCACATATAATGTAAAGCAACTGTAAATTTATATCATTTAAAGGGTTTTGACCCATATATTTTGGTGGCTCATAGCATGTATACCTCGTTTACCCTGATGATGGATTTAACAATCCGAAAACGTTTTGTAATATATTTGTGATAGCCCGTTTGGGAATTTTACTATATACCTTTTATAAAGGATTTGAAATAAATTTTTTATATATAGCATGTTTTTTTCCACCGTTATTCTCATGTTTTTACATTTTTTTACCCATTTTATTAAGAATCTCTCCAAATAGAGTTTAAATAAGATGGGTGACAGACAGCAGCCTTGTCTTAGTCCCTTTGTTGTTTGAAAAGGAGAGGTGATTTCTTGTCCCATTTTAATTCTTGCAAAGTTTTGTTCGTAGTATTTTTGAATGGCGTTAATAAGAATTGGGTTTATTTTCAAGTTACCCATTTCTATCTATAGTTGGGAGATCGGCACACTGTCATATACTTTTTTTAAATCTATTAAAGCTATATGGGTTTTTCTGCACACGTTTTTCCATTGCAATTTTTAATGTGAAAATATTATCCATAGTGGAGCGTCCGGCCCTAAGTCCCGCTTGTTCTTCGGGTTGTTTGTCTTTAGTATCATTTTCTATCAGGTTTCGTAGTACTCTTGAGTATAGTCGGCCTATAGTAGCAATCACTGCGATCCCTCTATAGTTTTTAGGATCCGTCTTTGTGCCTTTCTTGTGTATTGGAGAGATATACGATTGTCTCCATTCTTCTGGCCCTTTTTCTCCGTTTAAGCATCTTTCGAATAATTTTCATCATTTCAAACAGTTTTGATGATCCATACCTAATCAACTCTGGATGTATTCCGCCTGGGCCTGAAAATTTTTTAAATTTCATTCCCTTAACTGCTTCTTTCACTTGTTCTATTGATATTTCTATTCTTCCTTCTACTTCCACTTGTTCATTTGCCTGTTTAAACCTTTCTCTTCTCTATTGTAATAAGTTCTCAAAATGCTCTACCCATGTGTTCTATTATCGAGACATAATTTACTTAATATAACTTTAAAAGAAAATTTATGACGCACGCATTAATATTTGACTATAAATAAATGTTATTCATTTCCTTTGTGACTTTATGAAAGAACAACAGTTCAACACTCTCCATACATGATTTTATGTGCTATTCGGAACCATTCTTACTAATCTAACCAGTTTGGCGGTTATGAACAATGCATTGAGGGTTATCTTTATATTCATAGTACCTAGTTAGGGCTGGATTTCTTTTAGTGTAAAAATTTGATCTGTCACTTATCTATTCTAAAACCGGCCTGATACTCACCTAGTTTATCATGTGTTGACACTCTCTTAGCAGCCTGGCTATTATCTAATAAATACCCAACAGAGCAACTCTTCTGTAGTTTTTACGTACCAATCTATTCCCCTTTTTGCATATGGGGCATAATAAACCTTTGGTTCAATCTTTGGGCATATTTTCCTCTTCCTGTATCCCCATTTTGTCTTCTCCCGGTCTTTTGTTATTTTTGAGCCCATTGATTAAATATTTAATCTCTCCTTTACTAGGCAGTTCTATTATATCATCATGTATAAGAAAATTTTCATTCTCATCTGCATTTTCCCATTCAGTAGTTCACTAAAATGCCTCTCCCATATACCTATCAATTTTTTTTCTGAAATCTTTCCTCTATTTCTTGTATTATTTTCTCGTTATATTCTCTTTTCTTTCATCCACATACCCTTCTCATTATTTCTCTTTGATTTGAATTGTCTAAATCTTTTCTTTTCCTCCGCTATTTAAAGGTATTCTTCATCAAACCATTTCTTCCCTGATTTCAATTGGTTCTTCTGTGGAATAATTTTATCATTTGGTATAGTTGTAGCCTCTCTTGTAGCTTGCCATACTTGTTCTATTCCTAGTTTCTCTTCTTTCTGGGATAATAGCCTTTTATTTATTTAATTGATATACTTTCTTTTTATTTCCCGCCTACCTTTTCTATATCATATAGATTTTTCCTTTTTGAATTTGTTTTTCTCATTTTTTTTTATCTTCTCTTGCACTATTCCACATATAGCTCTAATCAGAAAATTGTTCGAATTCGTTTCGGTATGTAATACTTATATCATACTTTACTTAATTAAATTAAATAAAACCACTTGAAATAGCTTTATATTTTACTTTATTTTACAGTCCAAGAAAAATTTAGTTTAATTTTATGGTCCTGTAAAATTAAACTTATTTTAACAATCTTTAAACATCCTGTATTCACAAAATTTTCAAAACAAATTGAGACTATTACATTCTTAGGGCAGACAAAAACAATAATTTATTTAATGTCCAACAATTAAGTCTAAATACAGACAAAAATTACCTAAAACGTATCAGTCTAATCATTAAAACAAGATCAAAAGTTGAGATAAAAAATGCTTTTTTAAATTTAAAAAATGAATCTTTTCTCAAACCCTTACAACTAGGTATATAAATACATAAGAAATATATGTCAAGGGCCAATAATCCTCAGATATTTGTTATAATTCCCTATTGAATACAGAATTATCATTGATGCAGATGCAAGTTTTTTAAGCATTTTTTTTTATGAAAGTTTACATATTTTTTAGTATTTTTGACTAAGTCACAC